AAATGTGTATATGTGATACATATATACATGTATGAATGATGACTTGCCATATATCTGTTATGTTATGTTACCAGGTAGTAAATCAAGACTGCACATTCAGATGTGTCTCCTTTAATTTCCTTGAATAAGCACGTTGTTACAATTTTCATGCTTTAGATTCTTATAAACTTCTCTTCCTAAGGTGGTATTTGTTTCTTTTTCATTTTCTTTTCCTCTAGTTTGATTGGGTTTTTACCAGGCCGTTATCCAATTGTTTTGCTAATGAATTGAGTTAAAAGGAAACCAAAGACAAGCTCTGTCCCATTTCTTTCTGTCGATTCAGTTGTTTTTTGTTTTTTTTTTTTCACAATAGTTCTAGTTAGGAATATCTGCAGAGTTGTAATTGATATGTAATATGTGTAGATTTTCAAATCCAGTCAGTAAAGGTTTTAAATTTTCTAGTTAGGACTATCTCCGGAGTTGTAATAGTTGTAGGACTTACTCTCCCCTTTAGATTCACACTTTTTTTTACTTGAGGCATGGTTAAACTTGGTATTTTGCATTTAAAATTTCTGTATATTTTTTAATGTATAACAAAATAGCTTAAATATTTGAACTTGTGTGTGTCTTTAGTCTTGACCTGTACTTTAACCTGTACACGATTCAATTAGGGAATATTGTTCCATTTTTGGATCTTGATTTGCATATGGACAACAAAAATGCTAGTTTAAAGTAAGTTAAAATTACGTTCCAGGGCTTATTGGCTGCTCATCGGGGAGGATATATGGATTCTCAAAAGGAAGAAGGACCTGCTCCATTATTGTGGAGATTTTCAGACTTCTTGAAGTGGGCAGAGCTTTGCCCTTCTGAACAAGAAATTGGACATTCATTAATGCGTTTGGTTATTACTGGACAAGAAATACCGCATGCCTGTGAGGTACTAATATGCTAGAGATAAGTTTCACATTATTATTTGTGTAACCAAGCATATTCAAACTTTTTATGAACAATAACAAATTAATATAACTTTTTCTGATAGACAAGAGTCATATTTAATGATTATGAATGCTATAATTTTCATTTGTGAACATTGTATCTTTATGTGAAAATTGTATCTTTATGTTATTGTTGAGTCTAAAAATGGTTTAGCAATGTATATCAAGCTAATAGTTTCAGTCAACCCTGCTCGCTGGGATTTATTGTATTTGAAGTTTTTTTCTTATTTGTAGCGTCCTGTCATAACTAGGTTCTCTGTTGCAGTTGGTCAAATTATTAAAATAGTTAAAGCGAGAAGAGGAAACTAAAAGAGCATATGCAGGAAAAGAATTTGAAAGATCAAATGTTGATATGGTTGATTAGACCATTTTTCATTTTTCTGAGCTAATGCCTTTTTGGGCTTTCAAAAATGTTTCCAGGTTGAGCTACTAATTTTGTCTCACCACTTCTACAAATTATCATCTTGCCTGGATGGAGTTGATGTTCTTGTAGCCCTTGCCGCTACTAGGGTTGAGGCTTATGTGTCTGAGGGTGACTTTTCATGTTTGGCCCGTCTCATAACTGGAGTAGGAAACTTCCACGCCCTCAATTTCATTCTTGGAATTCTTATTGAAAATGGTCAGCTTGATCTTCTTCTTCAGAAGTATTCAGCTGCTGCAGATGCAAATGCTGGCACTGCTGAGGCTGTCAGAGGATTTCGAATGGCGGTTCTCACATCACTGAAGCATTTTAATCCAAATGACCTTGATGCGTTTGCTATGGTTAGTATATGCAGTCATGATTTTGTATAACGTTTACAACCTATACAGTACAGTCAAGTTTATGTGGAGATTTCAGATTGAACAGGGTTATTAGATCAATGTAATACTGGACCAATTAGCTATTTTACCTCAATCCAGGCTATAAAATATATTTATATCTTTACACTTCATTTTTCACAGGTCTACAATCATTTCGACATGAAACATGAAACGGCTGCTCTTTTGGAGTCACGAGCAGAGCAGTCATCGGAGCAGTGGTTCAGCCATTATGACAAGGATCAGAATGAAGACCTTTTAGACTCCATGCGCTATTACATTGAAGCTGCTGAAGTTCACAAATCCATTGATGCTGGCAACAAAACACGCAGAGCATGCGCTCAGGCTTCCCTTGTGTCTCTTCAAATTCGAATGCCTGATTTTCAGTGGCTGTACCGATCTGAAACCAATGCCAGGCGGGCCCTTGTTGAGCAGTCCCGTTTCCAAGAGGCCCTCATTGTTGCTGCAGCCTATGGTCTTAACCAGCCGAGTGAGTGGGCTTTGGTACTTTGGAACCAGATGCTCAAACCGGAAGTACTGGAAGAGTTTGTGGCTGAATTTGTGGCTGTGCTTCCTCTCCAACCCTCTATGCTTGTTGATCTAGCAAGATTTTATAGGGCAGAGGTGGCGGCTAGAGGAGACCAGTCTCAATTCTCAGTTTGGCTAACTGGGGGAGGGTTGCCAGCTGAATGGGCTAAGTATCTGGGGAGGTCATTTAGATGCTTGTTGAAAAGGACTAGAGATTTGAAGCTGCGGTTGCAGCTGGCTACCGTGGCTACTGGCTTCGGGGATGTCATGGATGCATGCATGAAGTCATTAGATAGGGTCCCTGACAATGTTGGACCACTTGTACTGAGGAAAGGCCATGGTGGTGCTTATCTCCCACTGATGTGATACTAATATTAATTCCAAGATTATAACTAGTGCTGATGTTCACGATGATGGTGGCGATGATGCACAAGCCAAGATGGCTTGATGTTACAATGATGCGAACCTACAACTGGATTTGTCCGAAGGAGGAAACGGGATAGGGATGGAGGAAGAAAAGAAGAAAGATATGAATGGAAATAGAAGCGGTAGCAGCAGGTTGTAAATTCGGGACAGTTTGTAAATTAGTTAACAGGTTTGAGTTGAGGGATTGTTTTATTCATTTTCAGCTTAGTCCAACAAGCAAGAAGCAGCAACGAGTTTTGATTGAAGAGAAGCATTTAGATTAGATCATTAGTTTATTCTAGCGTAGTTGTGCAGTTTGATTTTGCTTCATCCTTTATTATCACCTATTCTTTTATTCACAGCGGGCAGTTGAATCTACGAAACAAAAAAATACAAACAAAACTTGGCAGTTGTATTTCTCATTGCGCTAATATCAATGAAAGAGCCTTTCTTGTTGTATTCCATATCTGTTTACTGTTCACTATATGGTTATTGTTTTGTTATGCAAAGCACTAGCTTTTGTTAAAAAAGAATTTATCAGTTCTTTTTTCTGTCAGGGAATTTGAAATTGAAGAAAGATTTTTGTATCACAAATGGTTCCGAGGTTCGTGAAATCATTACCTTTCATCCTTAAGCCTTTTTTCTCTGTTGACATAATTGGTTCTTAAGATTACTCTTTGTACATCAATTTGGTTCTTGCTGTCAGCCTCTGTTAAATTGATGATGTTGCACATATGTGGAGCTCACACATCAAATGATAGAGCCACGTGACTTTAAATAAAAAAATATAATATATTTTAATTTTTAAGTTTTTATGGATATTAGGCTTTAAAATATTGTCACGCGGCTCCATATCATTAGATGTGTGGGCTCTATAAGTGTCACATCATCAATTTAATAGAAGTTTATAGTAGGGGCAAAAATGATGTACAAAGAGTAACCTTAAGGACCAATGATGTCAAAAAAAAGTTTTTAAAACGAAATATGACAATTTTGCAGGACTATTTGTGATTAAAAAAAAACCTTGAATTTCCTCCATCCCTAACCCGTTTTCCAATGTTAATTGGATTGGACTGTAAAGTCCCCAATCTAAAATGGATTAAATGCGGAATTGCTAAATATTAACATTTTCGAATCAACTGCAACTGACAAGCTCCATTTTGAGCTAGTAGCACCAACATTTCAAACTACGAACATAAAGCTTAATGCAAAAAACAAAACAAAACACAAAAACATGAAGCTTAATTTGTTTATCATAAAAAATTTTACATTTTAAACAAAATAGAAAAAAACTGTTCAAGTGCCGATAAATAAGCCTCTTAGTTTATCTAAATGCTAATTTAATCCTGCTTTGAGTCTTCAGGAAGTGTTGGTCGCCTCTGAGAAAGAAACCGCTTTGTACGCTCGAGGACACCAAAAAAAATCGATCCACCTATGCCTATCCACAAAACTCTTGGCCCAATGCCCTGAGGTAAATACAAAAATAAACAGCATAAGTCAATAACCAACTAATATGACCATATCATGACCATGCTTCTCAATGCTTACCTTCAAAAGAGCAGGAGGTCCTTCTTCCCTCACAATAGTTTGAACACAATCAATGATTCCTTTGTACTGGTTTGCAGATCCCTTAGAACAAGCAAGCAAATAAAACACATAACTGTTAAACTACGGTGCATACGTACACATGGTACATAATATGGTATGAGTTTCTTTTTTTATAATTAAAGCCCCTCAAATGTATGCCTGACAAAATTTTCAGGCTCTGCGATGGGGAACACATTTGTACAAACATCAAGAGAAAAGAAGCAGGATAGCAGATTGCTGTTACCTGAACCATTAGCCTGGTTTTAATCACATCAAGAGGAGTGGTTGCAGCTCCAGTTAGTGCGCCTACAAGAGTGTGACAATCAATGTATGAGATTTCATATGACCAACAGAGAGTATGACGAGTTTAATTTGTAAAACCCAAGGGAGAATGAGGTGCCATCTATAGGTGTCCCAAAATTACACAGAATGAGGTTGTTTCTGTTCATGATAACAGAGAAAGAACAACATTCCTCCATGAATGAAGTCAAGGCTGCTCATCCCCAAAAGCAAAAAATAATAATAAACATAAAAAGAATACGTAGTATGTCAAAATGAAAACTGAAAGTGAGGAGACAAATTAACCATATTTGGGATCATATGCAGCTGAATGGAAATTGAAGAGTCAAAAGCTGTATACCAGCAAAAGCTCCAATTATAGCATTCTCAGGATCGTTGAGCTCTCTTTTTGCCTGACAAAAAGAAAACAGATAAAAAACTGATAACAGATAACAAAACAAAGAAATTGAAAATACAGACATAAAATATTCATACACATATACAGACAGTGACACACAAATACATATTACACACACGGTGCACACATATGTCAAAGAACGAATGCCTCATAATCATGGATTATTGCTCATGGTAGGGCTAATACTTAGGATCCGGTTCAGAGAAGAAGAACGACCTAACAATTATCCTTCTCCCCATTGGTGCATTATGCCTAAAGAAAGAAAAAAAATCAGATTTTGGGTCCTGTATATAGAAAGAAAAAGAAGCATTCTTTACCGCTATAAAAGGGAGGCAGTCGATCCTTTGTGTGTGATAGAATCAGATTTTAATCTTCTGAGTTTAAAGGCATTCCACTTTTCTCTATTTATGCATACTTGGAGAGCTGTAGTAGTTCCATGGGGGACAGATTTCTAGTTATAATATATTTATTGTTTGTTAATTGATAGTGTCAATATTCAAAATGGGGAACATGATTACACAAATCCTCACTATTGAAATTTGAAATATCACCATCATCTTATGAAGTCAAGGCATTAAATGGAAAACGTTAGAAAGCATTCATTAATTCCATCAATTGCTCACTCTAGTCTGCAAGCATAATATGAGAGATGGTGAGAAGCTTACCGCCGCTTTGTAACCTAGCCGAAGCTGCTCGTATAGGCAAAATTGAATTGCATCAAATGGCAAATCTCTCAATAAGAACGATCCGTATCCCTACTATATCAAAAATGATGGTGAAAGTTAATAAATTGAAACTAACTTTAGAAGTGCAATAAAAATTGTCATCGAGGTTGCATTTCCTAATAGGAAATTGAAGACATTACAGAGAGAGAATACAAAGCACAAAAACAAGATGGACAAGAAGTCCGTCTGAACTAAGCCACCTAAAGAACGCAAACATGGTCACACTAAAATGAATCCAGGTTGCAAATAAATGTCGCATCTATCATACTAACAGAAACAGACAACAAAACAGAAACAGAAACCCTCTCATAAAGGAAGCCATTTAATTCAACCCTTTGACTAAAGACCAAGTTAAGGAACTTGAAATCCATTTTCTAGAAAAATGGAGACTTGATTTGTCCCTGGGTGGGAATACACACCGCATAGAATCCTTTGAAACCCTCTTTAGAAGCAATAAGGCGGACAGCATCAGAGGCTGATGTAAACTGCCCAGTTTGCATCCTTTGCTTAACAACCTGAGAAATATTGAAGAGAAATAAGGTCAACTAAAGCAAATATTAAACATGGAAGTGCACAAGTAAATTACTCTACCTCTGTCGGAACACGAACGAGTGAAGCAGCAACGCCTCCAAAAGCCCCTGCTGTCTACATAAAGTTTTAAAAAATAAAAATAAAAAGGGATTTCGATCAACCAACCAAATAGGTACAAAGGATTATTGGACCATATCATCAAGGACAAGATATATTCTAAATAAATATTTTGATAGCTGATTCCATAGAATATGTAGATCACAAGCACACCACGTAATGTAAAGTATACTAGACTATTGATAGAAGGCATGCATCAAAACAAAAGGAACAGACAGTTCTCTTACAAAATGAGCTAAAGCACTTAGATTTTCAGGAAACATCTTCAACAATTTCTGCTTCGTAGGTTCATAGACTCCAACAAAAATTGCAGAAGCCCTGTACACAAGTAAATAATCACAAATTACATTGCTCAAACATATTCAAATAAATAACTTATAGGATGATCCAGAATACATGATGAGCTTGTATAACTATAGCCAAATAAAAGTAGAATCCCAGCAGCTGAAATTCTGGATTGGAGGGTAGTGCCAGAGAGGATGATCGCACATATCTTAAAATGCAAACATCCGCATAAATAGAAGGAACTAATTTAGAAAAAGATCTCCATCAGTCTAATTTAGATTTCCCAATCCATAAAGTTTATTTGGGTCAAAACCCACAACATTAATACTAAATAGAATTAACTAAAATAAGTGCATGAAAAATGAAAGGAAAAGAAAAAAAAATTGTGATATTGAAAGCATGCTGCAATAGCTTGTGTAAATTGGCATGGT